CAGTGTTGCGGTCCGTCTGGTACTCGTCTTCACCGTCTCCTGTGTCTTGGGTTCAGGGTACGTCCTCTGTCAGACGGCAGTAACCCCTGGTCCACCAGCCTGCTGAAGTCCCAGAAGTCTGTTCCCCTCGCCGCTCTGTTCGGCGAGCAAGGTGAGCTGATGACAGTTAGCCACAAACCCTGAGGACTTGTTTACAAAACATACGATAAAGAGAGGGCACGCAAACCTTTATTGCTATAATTTTATTTGTTTTTTTACATTTATGTGGCTTTTGGAGTGCACTTAATTTGTACTTTTTGAAATAGTTTTTGAACCTCATAGTGTTTATTCCTTTGGGTCCATTTGCATTTTGCTATAAACCATGCAAGCGCACAGAAGATGAAATGAAAGCGAGACATTTTGTCTTGCATGCAAAATTATTGGTTTGGTAAATGACACTGCAGCTCATCGCCCTTCACCCGCGATGAAACGCACAGTGGACACCCACCTATTAGCGGTTCGGTATTTGCAGATTTTTTTGTGACATGCCGTGTTATTTGTGGAAAGTTTTCCTATTTGTGGATCTTTCCCTGGAGAATATCTGAAATATTCAAAAGAAAATGCAGCATGGGAAGCTGTAGCACCAAAGCTACTTGACTCTCTGTTAGCTGGCGTTAGCAAAGCAGCCAATCCAGGAAGGCCATTCATTCTCTTTGGTGCTGATTGGTCAGGTGGAGATAAGAAAGCCCGTAGATGTTGGCTGCTGTGGTAATGCCAAGATGGCGTCCACTGTGTATTTATTCTGATTATATTTGATATTTGAACTCAAGTTAATGTACAACAAACCATTAAGACTTTATTTGCAGAAAGAAAAAGGAAACTGTTTCCTTGTTTTGTTTACATTTAACCAGTCGTTTGTTTGTTTTCAGCGGGAGCAGGCAGGGAGGAAGCGTTCCCCCAGGAATGTCCTGACAGCAGCTCCAAACCAAAGCAGCTGAAGTTCCCCAACCAGGTTTACATCGACCTTCCTCTGTGGCGGGACGAGACGCAGCCTCAGAGCCCCGGGGGGAACGGCGGACCTGGCGATGCCGGGGTCGGTGCAGGAAGTCCCCCAGAGACTCCAGAAGACCCATGCACCACCACATCCACCTCTTCCACCTCCACAACCCCCCAGCTGACTCCCACCAACAGCCTGAAGAGGGCATCGGCGCGACGGAAGACCGACTTTGCGCTGTATGGCTGCGGCTCGCTGCTGGCCTCCGTGGTCCTGGGTTACGACATCAGAGAGGCCATCAGGACCTCGGCTCCTCCTGAGGAGTGCGAGACCCCAAAAGAGGAGAAGAAGAAGAAGGAGGGCCTGTTTCAGCGTGCCACCCGGTTCCGCCGCAGCACCTCCCCGCCGGGCGGCCGCTCCCGCAAAGAAGACACGTCTTCAAACGGCGTCGGCGCCCCGCCGGTGAACCTCGTCTCAATGTCGGCCATCATGGAGTGCAACTCCACCAAGTGCCTCTTACAGCCGGAGGCGGAGGCGTCGGAACCGAGTCCTGGGAAGGCCGAGCCTGCGGTCAACGATCACAAGTCGGAAACCTCCCGACCCGTCAGAGCAGCAACTGTAGAGAGCCAGAGCAACAAGCCCACAGCTGAAACCAAGAAGGCAGAGCAAAGTCAGAGTCGGGCCCCAGAGCAGAGCGACCACAACACAGGAACACGACTGCGCAGGAAGAAGTACACCATCTACCACAACAGTGAGGAGCACACACCGCACGGCAACAACACTGATCTTACAGTATTTTTGGTCGAGTTTCTAGAGCAAATCTGTGAGTGGATGAAGACATTAAAACGTCTTGTTTGATTTACAGGAAAAGTACTTAAAACTTGTACTTTGTCATATTAAGGATATTAGTTATTAGATATGAGTTTTGTCTCGTTTCCAGTGTACTGAGACATTTGCACTTTACAACATGTTGTGTTTTTTGCAGTGCTTAGCTGGTTCAGTTAGCATGTTCAAGTTTATCTGACTGTTCTCTCTGTTCACAGCCCACAATGGCCCTCCGGCGCCACCTGCTGCTCAGAGGAAGCAGGAGAAGGAGGAAAAGCCGGCCAACGGAGACGCCGTCCCGCGGCAGAGGCCGGTGTCGTTCCGGACCAAGCCCCACGCCTGGGCCCTGCTGCGGGGCCGCAACAAGAGCTACTCCCTGGGCCACTACTCCGGGGAGAAGACGGCCCAGGACCTGAGCGTGGTGCTGTCCTCCGAGGTGGGCTGCTCGCTGCTCGACATGGACACGGAGGGGCAGAAACGGGACTGCACCGTGCCGCTCTGCCGCATCCAGAGCTCTCCAGCACGGCCCTCCATGTTTGAACTGGAGAAAGAGTTTTTCTCCTAGGAGCCTGGAGCTTTGGCCTGCTCTTAGCTGAGCGAGGCAGGCAGTAGAGAGTTGCTGGAGGGGGTTAGACGTACGCTGCCTTTGTTCCTTTTTGCCTCTAAAAGCACCATAGAAAGAAGGTTGTTTTTATTGTTTTTGTTCTTAGTGCCTGAGCAAAGTGACGTTGGGGTGTCAAAAGAACCGCCTTAAACACGGCCATATTTCCAGAACAGACTCTGACCTCTAACCTCGCCCTCGTCGTTACCCCGCCCTCCCCTCCGTATGTCGTTGCAGCTCAACGTTGACCGCCGCTGCATCTCTCCCAACTCGAAACACCTTTTTATTTATTTTCATCGGTAATTTAATATGAACTGAGTTAGCGGGCAGCAGGACACACGTTCCACCTCCGTTTCACGGCTGCGTCATCAGGCTCGTAGATTTATTTTCTCACTTGAGAATCGTGCATGTAAACTTAAAATGTTCACAAAAAAACAACAAAAAAGAAACAAGGCAATGTTTGTAAATATGACTTTTTACCCGCTGTCAGCCTAATGCTGCTGTTGTTTTCTACTGCAAACATGTTTTACGACTGTCAGCTCAGTCTGCGCACTAGAGTCAGGTTACATAATCAATACTGGAGTTGAAGCATCTGTTGCTCCACCCAGAACGGCCTAAAGATTATAGAGATGCAGGTAGAGAATCACTGGAAGTCTTACAAAGCAGACATGGACTCTATTCTTGTAAAAAAACACACACAAAAAAAAAAAAAAAAAAGAAAGAAAAATGTTGCTGCTTATGTATTTATAGATTTTTTAAATATTTTTTTTTTTGGTTCTCAGCACACTAAAGCAGATTTTTCACATCGGAGAAACTCGGTTTATTAAAGCAGTGACCCAACGAGAGCCGATTGGTTGAAACACGAACACATGAGCCGCGTCTGCAGTGGGGGATTCAAAAAGTTCAACTCTTACAGAGTCATCTCTCACACACACAAGCTCTCAAGCTTTTATTTTACATTCTGATGGTTTGTGTGGCCTGGAGCTCATGAAACGTCTCAAAACTATTCCACAATTATTTGGAGAGCAGAAATATCAGTCTAACTATTAGTCTGTGTGCTTTATTTATACACGTAATTCATCTTCATCTTGGCAACTTTCCACAGGTTCTCTGTGGGGTTCATGTCAGACCAGTTCACAGGGGTGTTGATCACAGTGTTGCCATGGTTACTGGTGGTTTTAGCACAAGCCAATTACTGCTGGAAGATGCCATCAGTATCCGCATGGCTTCACGACCCTTTCTAAGCTGTTACTTTTTCATCTTTTTTCACACTGCCACACTTTTCCCTCCACTCAACTTTCCATTAATATCCATTGGACAGGCAGCTTCGTTAGCAGTGACCTTTGGTGTGTGTTCATAAAAGTAACACATCAGTCCGTTTTTTTTTTATTATTAGTCTTATGCAATATTTTAAAATCCCAAGAAACTTTACACTCAGTTCCATTCCTCATCAAAACAAGGACTCTTGATTAACGAGTTTTACTTTTTGAATTGAGTTACTGAAACACATCAGTTTTAACTCGTACTTTGTTTTGTTGAGGGTCTCGTTATTTCTACACATTCCTGAATGCAGCTGTTTTTTCAAGTGTGCTCAGTAAAGCCTTTTAATACCAGCGTCACATATTTTACCTGAACAAACCTGTTGAACTGTTACATTTAACAACTTCCGCATCCAGTCACATGAAGCCTATTTAAACGTAAAAACATTTCTTTCCATCTGGACAAACTCATGCCATCACGCTCAGAAAAGTCTGGAGACATTTAAATCAATTTTTATTGTGGACTACTTGCTTCCTCAGGACTTGTGAAGGTCTCTATCCCAGCAGGCCTTTTCTACGCAGCCTTCAACTGAAAAGTGCGTACGCCCCTCCTCGCTTGTTTCACTCGTCTTACTCGATTTCCTAGAGAAGGGCTGAAGCATGAACTTAGAGAAGCGTCTGAATCACCAGTCGCTGTAAGTGTCTTCCTGACGTGTGGGTGCGTCTCGATTTTTAAACATTTCTTTTTTGAAGAACATGAAGTATCCGAGTCTTAAACCGTTAACGGTGCTGTCCACAAGCCGGGTTCCTTCGTTTTTTCAGAACCGTCTGTGAAAAACGCGGCGCTTTGTCACAAACTTTTTCTCCTACATTCCTAAGACGCTTTTCCACGTTAGCGATGGGGACCAGGTTCTACACGTTTTCCTGCGTTCAGACCCGAAAGCCACGAATTCAACCTGCTGCTATGTGAAGGAGATGAAGAGTAGAGGCCTGTGAAGTGATCGAGCGTCTTCTTTCTTTTTAAACGCGGCTGATCACGCCGACCGGGTTCAGATCCGTTCCAGTGAGCCGAGTGTGTTTATCCTGACAGTATTGGTTATGTCAAGCCTGATCGATCAAGAGTTATCATGTTTGTCAACGTTTTAAATAAAAGTCTACATCAAGCCTATTGGCGCCCTCTTTATTTGATTTTGATGTTTTAAAAAAAAAATTTTTGTCGTATTAAAATGCAACCAACTCTGTGGTTATAAATCTGACAAAACACGAGAATAACAATAACAAAAACTCTTCTGCAAGACGATTTTGACCTTTCAGGAGCACAACAACTGAACACACAAACAAATTAACTTTTAAAAAGAGGAAATGGATCCTTTTATTAGTGAGTTGATGCATGCAGGACAAACATGAGGTATAAAATGTCACCAGTTTTTAAACTCAAACAGAAGCTCTGGTAGTTTTTATTTTCAAAACGTCCAGGAACATTCATTGGTTCTCATTTGTTTGAGACACAAACAAAATGCTAGAGGTTGCTTCCTCAAAAATATGTTAAACTTGTGCATAAATATTTCAGTGGATAAAATGCTTCAGCTTCCAAAAAAAAAAACTAAATTAAATAACCAAACTTTGAACAATAACGTCACAAAGAAATGACTTTCACAGTGATCCTCAGCAGAAAACGCTCCAAAAATGTCAATTTAGAAATGTTCAAGTTTAGCAACAGACTTTAAAATGAAGAAATGCTCCTCGAGCGATTCGATTAATCGCGCCAGTTCTCCGAGTTCAGACACCCGTGACTGCAGCCGTGGAGGTAGGGGTGAGGACGAGACGACTCGAGTCAACCGGCGTCTGCAGAAGAAGAAGAAGAAGGAAAGCCGTCAGACTCTTCAGGCGCGTTCTCACAGCAGCTCTTTGGTGCAGAAGCGGACCTGTGCGCGATCAGTCCATGGTGATGCACTTGGCAGCGCTGCGGTCGCTGCTCTTCATGTGCCGGGGGATGACTGTCTGTGCTTGGACGCAGTAGTGCGTCCTGGGCTTCAGTTCTGTCAGAGTCAGCCTGGAGCCGCTCGCCACCGCGTAGACGTCCTGCAGGAGGAGAGGAAAGAGAGGCGCCGCCATCATGGAGGGAGAAAACTGGGGCAATGGGTCAGTCGGTTCTTTTTTTGTTATTGTTGTTCTTTTTTACACATCTACACTTCCTCTTCTGCCTCAACCTTTTCTGTTTCCTCTTTGCCTTCATAGCTAGACACGTGTCGCCCTAAATTTGTCCATCGTTTGAATCTGATCTGATGTTTTTGCCCCAGGATCTGTGACAGTGACCGTTTTGTCACGTAGCAGGTTTTTATGGCTTCACAAAAACTGCAACACAGATGATCTTACCAAGTCATTTTTGGTCTAGTTCCTAATGCAAATATCTTGTTATGCTTGAAATAAGACAAAACTAACTTACAAGTAACTTTCCAGCAGGATATATGAGCTTGTTTTAAGTCAGTAAGTGGAACAAGACATTTTCTCCATTTCCAATATGGAAAAAATGTCTTGTTCCATTTACATTTATAGTTAAAAAAATAAAATAAAATTCTATTTCATAAATGAAATAATCCAGGAATGGAGCAAGTACTTTTTCCTCATCAATATGAAGAAATTATTGACGTAAAGGAAGCTCCTGTAACTTGCTGCAAAGTAACCTGTAAGTTAGTTTTGTCATATTTCAAGTGTGCTAAGATATTTGCATTAGAAACTAGACAAAAAATATACTTGCTAGGATTTTGTGCTTTTGCAGTGAGTAGTTAGAAATCAAACATAATTAAATGTATTTCTGTTTTTTCTCTTCATTTGGAGGCTTTATTCTTTTTTTTCTTTTTCTTTTTTTTTTATCAATTTGGGTCAAATATCGACTCTTGGACTTTTCCATGAAACCCATGCCTACATTTCCAGGTTTCTTTTGGCAAATGGAAAATCTGAAAAGTGCGGCGCAACCCCTGAGTCAGAATTGTGTGGAATCATCTTAATAAATGAAGCGATATGAGTCGTTTTGCAGGGCTGTGCAAAAGACTTTGATAACAATCTGACAGATTTTGGGGTAAAACTGAAGAGCAGGGATTATGGGTGATAATCCTACCTCCTTTCCGGAGGGGTGGACGACGTAGATGTTGTTGTCCACTCCGTTGTGCACCTTGCGCATCAACACTCTGGAGGCTTTCACTTGGACCACGACGCCCTGCTTGGACGAGTTCAGCCTCACCGTGGGGGGGCTGATTTTGGCTGCAGAGACACAAAACGGTCAGCGGTCATCGCAATCACTTGGATTTTAACTTCAAAATCTCAAGAGACAACAAAAAAAAAAAAAGAGAGAAAAAAAATAAATTTTTCAGTCACCATCTTTTTCCAAAATAATTAAGGAGATGATGTTAAAGAGCTTACTGTCCCAGCGGGGGCTGAATCTGCGGGACAAGGCCCAGGCCGATTTGCTGCTGGTGGCCACACACGACCCTCGCACCCGGGCGTAGTACCACTCTCTGACGTCGGAGGTGGCGCCGCTGAGGTCGCAGTGGTGCTTCTGGATGCCCTGACAGTTGCTGGCGTTCAGCCAGTCCAGCTCGCCGTAACTGCGAGAGGCCAGCGGAGATTTCCGTCAGACACCAAAAGCCGGAGTCGGCTTTGCCGCCGCGCTCGGCTTTACTCGAGACCCGTTAGTTTTAAGTGGGTTGTGAAAACGGAAAGCGGATGAATGGATGCTAACGCCTGACGATCCGATTCAAGGTTGCTGAGGCGAATCTAAAACGCTCAACCTGAAGTTCTGACGTTTGAGTTGTTGCAGATGCAATCTGGGTTTTAACTGGTTCCAGTCTGCTTGAGTTCTTCCAACGGGTCGTTCTGAACAAATGCCTAGCATAGGTAGGACGCTGACTGCAAATAACTATTCCACAAAATCCCGCCAAAATACAACTATTCATTTATCTTGCAGCAGATCAATACCCAATTTTTCTACATTTTACAACGTAAATCTGTTAATGCGAGAAGAACAAAAAAAATATTTCTGTATGTATTTGTGCAAAAAACAAACATTGGTGCATTTAGTTATACCATAAAATTGAATTTTGATTTGCCAGCCTGACAGTTAAAACTAATAAAATATGAGGAAACGTATTTTAGCGCGTTCATTTTTACGCTTGAAAGCAATTTTTAAGTGGAAGAGGTTAGGCCAACAACACACACATTTAAAGGTCAGAGGTCAGTTACAGTGTAGGAGAAGGAGCTCCCTCTGCTGGTGGGTTTTTATGCACCTTTGTTCCTAAAAATTTAAATTTTGATACTGGTCCAAAAACACATGTGTGTTCATAGAGAGAAGAAGTCATTTTTTTCATATTTTACTGTTGGTGAGAAAACTTAAGAAATAAAATGAGAGAAAAATCCCACCAAAAAAAATCTTCCCTTTTTTTCCCCCTAGCTGAGCAGCTCAAAAGGCTGTGTGTGTGTGTGTGTGTGTGTGTGTGTGTGTGTGTGTGTGTGTGTGTGTGTGTGTGTGTGTGTGTGTGTGTGTGTGTGTGTGTGTGTGTGTGTGTGTGTGTGTGTGTGTGAGCTCTCACATCTTGTACTGGACGTGGTACTGCAGGCAGGAGCTGTTGGTGGGCGCGGCCCAGTGCAGGACGTTCTTGTAGTCTGTGGACTCGAACCTCACCTGTCCAGGTGGAGCCAGCATCTCTGCAACACAGGAAGTCACATTTCAGATGAGGGAGACGAGTTCATGAAAGATGTTCGGAGGAGTTTACCACCTGAACAGCACGTCAAACTGCAGACGCATCGACTGGTTTGATTTCTTATTGTGAGTGAGAAAAACAGGTAGGATGTTGACTACAAATAACTATTCCACAAAATCCCACCTGTCGCTAAACGTGGCAGCTATGATGATGAAGTACTGATGGAAAACAAAGAGGAGGATAAGGGGAAACATGAAACTGAAATTGAATCCTCTTCAACTCCAGTTTGATCATATTTTATTCTTTCACTTCTCAGCTCATTTCTAAACATCTTTAATTAAACCTTTTATTACACCATTGTTGAATTGGACACTTTTTGTGAAGTGAGACAAAGCTGGATGAAAAGCTTTCTTGACCAGCTCAAAGTGTTGACTTTGGGTTTTAAATAGAAAAAAAAAAACCTGCTGGTTTTGGTTTTTTTCCTGAACCTCAGGAAAGGTCAGGAGGAAAATCACCCAAAACAAACAAACACAGCTGGTAACATAAAACACATTTCTGTCATCAGGCTTCACTGTGAAGAACAATCTCAAGTTTCTCTCAGTCTTTTTAACTCTTTTTTTCTTTTGCCCTCCTCAGGATGATTTTTGATGTCTGGTAATGACCAAAACAAGCCATTAACTCACAAATCACAAAGCCAGAATTGATGTTTTGTAGGAAAACCTCGGATCGCATCAGTGACAAATCCGTAAATCTAAAGGCGCGACTGCAGCAGAAAAGCAAAAACAAAACAAAACAAAAAAGAATTTGGTTTTATTTGCAGCGAATCCCATGTGACCCCTTTAAAAAGCAAAGTCATTGTTTATGACAGTCACAGCCAAACAGGTTTGACTGCCTGTTGACCATCGCTGACCTTCTCCGTCTCTCAAGATCAAGCAAAAAAAAAAAAAACAATAAAAGAAAAACAGTAGATGCAGTAAAAGAAATTTACTACGACGTGTTCCACATCTGTAACAAAACCAGACGGTGAAGGAAAATATTAACCTGTCAGGATGCCTCAACTTTGGCGTCTTTCCAAAGTGGCTGACGCTGTGTGATAAAATGAGATTAAATAGAGGAGGAGGATGAGGATGATGAGAGCGCAGGTTACCTTGAGCTGCGGCGCGCGGGGCCAGCGTGGCCAGCAGGACGGCTCCCTGCAGCAGGTGGTTCATGTTGCCGATGCGCTCCGTGAAAGACAAACACGACGATCCATGAAGGCGCTGCTGAAAAGCCCCGTCCCTTTTATCACCGCTCCACTTCCCCCTTCTAAATGCCACACTGTCCTGCCCCGTTTACGGCGTTTGCGACAAATAAGAGTTGCTTACAACAGCTTTACACTCCCCCACCTCCCCTCTCTCTCTCTCTCTCTCTCTTTTTTTCAAATTGTTTGAAAAAACAATTTCTCCTCATCAGAGAAATAAGTCATGGATCATCTATCATGGTTTTTTTCCTATTTTTAATTCCAGAAGTTCACAAATCATATTTTAATATCGTAAACGAGTAATTCCTATAAAGAATCTCTCTTATCCAAGCCTGACTGAATTTATTTTCTTGTCATTTTTTTTGGTAAATGTATTTTCAGCCACATAGTGCAATTTTATCTCAGTCAAGATAAAATGCTGTACTTTTCAAATAGGGCTGAAACAAATTTTGACTTTGCACGTTGAAATCGGGCCTCTGTCTCTTTAAGAAGCTCCTGCTCTTTCTGATGCTCTGCGTGGCCTGAGGAACGTGACAATGAAAACTGATTAATCTTCACAAATCTCTCAGTGAAAGCCTTTGAGACTCTTCGGAAAAAAATGTATTGCTCAACTTCAACATAATTTAGGAACATATGAAAAAGAAATCCGTAAAGTTTGTCAATGATTCCACTTCTGGATGTTTCAAAACCTTCGGCCTCAGTTTTCTAACATGTGGACATGCGGCTTTGAGCAAAAATGGAAGCAGTCTCGACGTTTGTACATTTATTTAGCCATTTAAATAAATATACATGCGATGATATAGCAGGGAAAACATAAAAAAATAACCAGATTGAAATTAGACCCAAGTGAAGACAAGAAGCTGTATTCCATTTATTTATTTACTTACTTAAATCTAATTTTAATCACTAACAAATAATTGCTTGATATCATTGCCCCCAAACTCAAATAAACATGTTGACATGGTTCATATTAAGCCCTCATAGAGGTGTAATATAACGCAGTTTGTTTGTTTCCCTCTTCTCGTATAAATTCAAGCTGGTTTTTGGTGAAACTCGAGTTTTGTACCTCTGGAATCAGACTCCGGTTTGTTCTGGTCCAGTTTGTCCTGTAACTGATCTTGGACTCGATCCGTTACAGGTGCTGCATTAGAGGCGCACGTGGTTCAGTCGGTCAACTGGGAAACCCTCTCGGCTTACGAGAAACGAGTTGCATAGTCAGTTTGTTCTTGGCAGCTGGAACAAAACGGAGAAGAGTGGCAGCCTGTCTTGAACTTCCTGTTTCCTTTGTTTCCGTCCCATTTGAGCATTTTACGCTGGCAAACTATTAATAGCAGCTTATAAAATTATATTGCTGTTGAACTGTTCTGAGGAATATTGTATCCTATTCATGGTTTTGCTTGTACTAGTCCTTATTAGGACACTCATGTCAGTACACAATTATATATACACTGCCTGGCCAAAATAAAAGTTGCCACCCAAAAATGGTCACACTCTCTAATATTTTGTTAGCTTTGATCACAGCCCGCATTCGCTGTGGCATTGTTTCAATAAGCTTCTGCAGTGTCGCAAGATTTATTTCCATAATTTTTCACCAAGATCTTCTGTCGATGTTGGGAGAGTCTGACTACTGCGCAAAGCCTTCTCCAGCACATCCCAAAGATTCTCAATGGGGTTGAGGTCTGGACTCTGTGGTGCCCAATCCATGTGTGAAAAAGATGTCTCATGCTCCCTGAACCACTCTTTCACAATTTCAGCCCGATGAATCCTGGCATCGTCATCTTGGAATATGTCTGTTCCATTTGGGAAGAAAAAAATTCATTGATGGAATGACCTGTTCATTCAGTATGTTCAGGTAGCAGCTGACCTCATTCTTTGAGCCCACAATGTTGCTGAACCTAGACCTGACCAACTGCAGCAACCCCAGATCATAGCACTGTACAGTAGGAACTAGGCATGATGGGTGCATCACTTCACCTGCCTCTCTTCTTACCCTGATCTTCTTACCCATCACTCTGGAACAGGGTGAATCTGGACTCATCAGACCACATCACCCTCTTCCATTCCTCCAGAGTCCAATCTTTATGCTCCCTAGCAAACTGAAGCCTTTTTTTCTGGTTAGCCTTATTACTGATTAGAGGTTTTCTTACAGCTACACAGCTGTTCAGTCCCAACCCCTTGAGTTCCCTTCGCATTGTGCGTGTGGAAATGCTTTTGCGTTCACAATTAAACATACTCCTGAGTTGTTTTTCTTCGATTTGATTTGATCAAACGTGTAAGTAATCGCCGATCACGATCATTCAGGATTTGTTTCCGACCACATTTCTTCCTGGAAGACGATGGTTCCCCACCATCCTTCCAGTTTTTTATGATGCGTTGGACAGTTCTGAACCCAATTCTAGTGGTTTCTGTAATCTCTTAGATGTTTTCTCTGCTTGATGCATGCCAATGATTTGACCCTTCTTGAACAGACTAACGTCTTTTCCACGACCACAGGATGTGTCTTTTGCCATGGTTGTTAAAGAAATGAGGAGTTACTCATTGCATCAGCTGGGGTTAAATGACTTGTTGCCAGCTGAAAGATAATCGCCTATGCAGTAATTATCCAATAGGAGGCTTGTACCTATTTGCTTAGTTACATCCAGGTGGCAACTTTTATTTTGGCCAGGCAGTGTTTGTTTATATATATATATATATATATATATATATATATATATATATATATATATATATATATATATATATATATATATATATAAGTAATTCTTTTACTTATTTGTTAAACTTGGTTCCGTCTTGTGACTGGATGAGACAATCGTGAAGAAAATGACTCCTTTCCTTCGTCCAGCTAACTAGAAACAACCAATCAGAGCCAGGAGGCGGGTCTTAGCGCTGTCAATCAATCTTGTGTGGCGCTGTTCATCCTCCCCAAGTTCATCCGTCCTGCCTTGTAGCTGTGGCTCACAGAACCTTTTATGAATGCTAGGCTAGTTAGCATGGCCGCCATTGATGACAGATAAACAGTTTTTTTCTGGAACAGTAAGTCGTTCCTCAGCTTTGATTGGTTGATTTCAGTGGGGAGCGGTGCGTTTCGGTAATAGCAGCTCAGGAAGGAGGAGGAGGAAGAGATCGATCTTTTTGCAGATTATCTGACTTATACCGCCACATGATCATGACAGTTTTACCAAACAGGTAAAGAAAAATAAATACATTTTATATATACTACAGCTTTAATGTCTTAAACACTACAGCTTTGCAATTCACTTTTCTCCTGATCTGTTGTGTCACAATCACACATCTCAGTGCATTTTAATGTACAAATGGTTAACACAAAATTTAAAATAAGGCATGCATCTGCAGTCAACTCTTCACTCTAGAAACCTGTAATGTTTAATATGAGAAAACATGGCATATTGTTTATAGACAGTTGATTTTCATAGGTGAAGAAAACTTTCCCCCATATTCAAAGTTTCTGTTTCAAATCCCCTCAGTTGGTTCTGAGAAATAAATATATGATTGACAGTGTTTAGCAGCACAGTGGTACTGAAGTATTAGCTGCTCTGCAGTAGTTGGTTTTATTTTTAGAGTGTTTGCTCTAACTTTATAGCAACTCAGGCAAAATGTTACTTCACTGTTTATTGAGGTATTATAAAGGGTTTGACCATAAATTCATTGAGAAGTTACATCTACATTACGTCCTTCCTAGTAAGCAGGATAATAAAGCCGTAAAGCTCACTGTTGGTAAAAACCAGAGCGATGCTCTATGACGTTCCGGTCGAGATTAGACCGGACCGGAACGGCACAGGAAGGAAAACGGACTGGTTCAGATCAGGAGTCAGTTTGGACCTTCACCTCAACGGCTACTAGTAACTTTAGCTAAAAGTGATGGAAAACAAACTGTTTTGGAAAAAAAAAAGGATATTTAAATGCAGATATTCAGTCTTTTCATGAAATACACTAATTAAAGTCCTGATTCACACCTAAAGTGTTAGTCCTGTATTCCTTTAATCTAATTTTTCTGATTGGGTTGCACTTTTTTTTTCCAAGCAAAACAATAAAAACACACAGAAAAATGTATCCATAAAATGGTGCTTCTTCAGATCATACGTTTTCCCTTTTTTGAAGGGTTGCATAACATACACAGCTCTGAATGAGTTCTATAACTTTACTGAGGTATAACAAAATAATTTTTAAAAAGCTTGTTTGAATTTTAGATCAAAGCCCAATTACTTACAAGAATGTCCTAATCAAAGTAGACTTAGATCCATTTTACCGTTTGTTCACAGACGCGCTCCATTCAAATTGATGAAATAGAAAACAAACGTTTAACGTCTCGATGTGGAAAGTGACAAAACCCCAAACCACTTGCAACCATGTCAACAGTAAATACAAACACAGTTTAAACTTTATATGATTATGGTTTGTCAAAGTGCTGATTTCAGTAGAAACAAAAGAGTAAATAAATTCAATTACTAGTTCTGGACATAAAAGATTTGTAGACGGTTTATTTGTGAAAATCTGTAATGGTGGTTCAATGACAACGCAGATTACAAGAAACTCTCACCAGATGCCTGCAAATTAAAAAGATAATGCACGTAATGGGTTCTGGCACAGGAAGCACTAATATGGTCACGTCAACGGTCAGACAATGAAAAAAAAAAACAAAAAAAAGGGAAGGAAACAAATCCAAAAGCAGACAAAACGTCTTCCCCGTCACGCAGCGTAAGAGGAACGAAGTGCAAAGAGCATTCAAATGTCACGACCTGTAATGGGAGCCGCGGTTCTTCCTGTAACACAGGACCTGACGTGTTCTGTGTCCCAGCGCCGTAATCTGGAGGCTCACTTTACCGAAATGCCAACTTCCCTTCATGAAAGTGAAAAACTCAGACATGAGACAAAAGACAATTGAATCCATGAGATTCTGCAAAACTTAACCGTTTACAGAAAAAAAACAACATGTGTTTTTGTATACGTGAACCTTTGAAATGTGAGTGAAACCAGAGACGGTGATTAACAAACGGCAGGTTGGAAGTTGTGAGCGACACGCAGAAGTCCAGACTTGTTTCTGATCATGTTGTGAAGCGTTTCATGCAACCACAATGTGGAGGGGAGCAGTCCAAGGCCCTGCCGCTCGGCTAGCATGCAACTCCGAAGCAGCACTCTGGCTGGTTTAACAGTCATTTAGAGAAAGCTTTCTGTGATTCTGTAATAAAAGTTTCTCATTTGGGCTTCAGAAGACACAAAGTAGCCAAAGAAACCTTTACGTGTTGCCCATCGAATCTGGATCTGTTGAGGTTCAGGTGAGTCCTGTAGTTCAAGTCTTTTCTGGATTTTCAGAGCTTTCATACACTCTGGTATTTGAGTGTTTTCCTGTCATCGCCTAAAACACAGAAGGCACAGAAACGCAATACAGAAAGGTTCAACTGCAACGACGATGCCTCGCAAACATTAAAGTCACAGACGTCATCAACCGATTAATGGATTCTGTTTCTACCTGCTCACGTTTTAAGTATTTACGGTAATGTATGTCGAGTTGTGGCAGTTTCACAGCAGCCTCTTGCAGCTCAGTGAGACGCACTTCAAATCCACTTCAGAAGGTGAAGAAAACTGGAAATCTTTTGAAATGAAAACGACTGACTACATATTCACAGTGGACGAGATGTTTGATCATTTCTGCCAGGAGAAAGAAAACCCAAGCAGGTACGTCTTATAGAGTCAGAGGTTGAGAAATATTTATATATTTAAAAAGCAGCACATTCTCTTTAAGTGACGGAATCAAAAATAACAACCAAAGCAAAATATAATCTTAGGAAGTCATAATACAACTCTTCAGCAGCATGAAAACAAATGAGCCTTGAAAACAAAACTCAGCTATCGTTAGCGTGCTGAAGCTGAAACATCGGAGGAGTGAAAATAAAAACGAGGTCTGAGGAAAGGAAGGGCAGGTCCAGCACCATCACTAGATATTTAAATCTTGCGGCTGCATGCGCCTGCGTCAGACGTTTCTGACGTTCGCCCTTCAACACAGAAGGATGAAGGTCGTTTAAATTTTAGATATGAAAGAACAAGGTGCTCCAACTTTGGTACTTTGTTAGTATCATAAAAACACAGAATTATTACAGTTTTTGGGTTTTTTTAAGAGTTGAAAATTTAGAGTTCTAGAGATTCTTTAACGCACGTTTACAAAAAAAAAAACAGCTAACTTATCACTAAAATCCTGTGAGTAAAATGCATCTTTAAGAACTACATGCCTGTTCAGCTGCATGCTGGGAGATTAACGCCAACGTTGGCACAACCATATTTGTCAGCATATCGGTTTACAGCTGAATAATCTAAGGACAGGCTGGAAGCAATAGTTCTGATTTAATCCATTTCCGGTTCCTGAAGCTCTCAGCTGATCCATATCTTTAGTGTCTGAGGCACTGAAGCTCACTGGCAGAAGTGGGGAAACTTGGAAACCAAAAAGCAGAAAATAAAAATGGAAGAATATTCTGCAACAAAGTCACAATCGCGCATTTCACCGGCATCATGCAGCCTTAGTTCGCGCAACTAGACCGACAGACGAACATCCCAATCCCAGAATCCGATCCATCATTTCCTGCCTATCATTTTTACCTAAAGATGATCTTTGTTTTTATATTATACCAATATTTCCAGATTGCTATGATTGCTTCTCCTTCCTTGATCTCTAGCACAAGCTAGAGAGATTGCTGATAGGTTGGTAAAAACATCACGCCAAGAAATAGCCTCTGTTTAGGAGCTAATGAGGGAATAAAGAGCTGAGTCAGTAGGATAGCCTAGAAAACAGGCACTCAAAGTTTTAAACTTTCCACTTTGACAAAGATGGACTGACTGCGTCCCTTAAAGACATCGACTGTCACGATTCTCCAAAATTTAAATCATCTTTACTTTGGGGCGTGCTGTGGTGGCGCAGGGGGTTAGAGCGCCCCACGTTTGGAGGCCTCGGTCCTCGGTGAGGACGTCGCGGGTTCGACTCCCAGTCCCAGCAACCCTTGCCGCGTGTCTTCCCCCCTCTCCTTGCCCTCTTTCCTGTCTGCCGGCTGTCAAAAATACGAACCACTAGCGCCGCAAAAACTCTATGGAGAAAACAATGATAAAAAAAAATAAGAATCTTTACTTTCACCTCAGTGAGGCATTGATTATAAAGGCACAAAGACAGTACTACTTATTATTACTCTCACCAATTATTATACATATATGAAACAAAATACACCCCTTAAAAAAATCTACATCTCAGTTCACAGGTTTCTGGTGATGGAAAGTGCTGAAAACCTGATTCAGATCACCTGCAGTCAACACAACTAAAGCTAAAAGGTGATTTGAAATCTATCTTGCTGTAACTTGCTACTCTAACACTAGTAGTAAAAAATACATATACAAAAAGTGCAATTGAAAGAAATATTTTTTTCTGGTGCGCTCTGTAGCTAATTAGATGTGGTAATGCTAGTGTCCAGCCAGCAGGTGTCACTGTGACAATGATTATCAACTAATAGTGGATGAGCTGTGATTATGGCTCTGTATAAAAGCGCAAAGTTAGGTTTTCCAGTCTGTAGGCCTCTCTGTATTTTCACCTTTTTTCACAATCAGTAAAGAGGAGGAAAAGGAATGAATGTAACAGAGTTTTTGCCCCCCCCTAATTGTATTGTTAATCTTTTCTTTTAGATCGAACCGATTAATCAGCCACGGTATCCCTCGGCTTGGTCCCCGGGAGCCAGCACCACCTCGCGGCGCTCGTAAGGAGAGGGGCTCATCCCTTCTGGCTCTTCAGGGTCACTGTCCAGTTTTTGCCCGCTCATGTACGGGTCTTCAGACGTGTTCTCTTCCTCCAGCTCTTCAGAAGGAGCCTGGCTGTTAGGTGACAACTTGATGCGTAGGTCATCGGCTTCTTCACTCTTTTGACTGATGACGGGTTCCTCAGGCGGGTGTTTGGGACTCTTCGGCAAAGGGCTCACTGTCACAGGACTGGGATCATCAGGAATGGGTTGGAAGTGTTGCTTTGTTTTTGGGATTATCTAAAACAGACGAGACGAAACAAGTTCAGCGCTGAAACACAAATTCATCCATTCAGATGAGCTTCATCTGTCTGAACGTACCGAAAAAGGTAGTAAAGGCCTGTCCTTGGCGGGTGTCGTCTTTTTCCAGAAAACCATGGCGGCAACTGAAGCCACCGCTGCGATGACGGTGACGACGATGCCGACAACGAGGCCGGTGTGATCTAAACAAAGCAGAAGAAGAAGAAACGCAAAGTTATAGCCGGCAGCAGCTGGAAGTCTAAGTGCCATCATAAGAGTTTCTTGATGACTTGGACAAGAAAGATTAAAAAAAAATCTTTGGACCACCTGAACCTTTTTTTGTCGTCATCACGTCAGAATATTTTTTGTAATTTTGTGCGACCAACTAACACTGAGAAAAGTATAATTGGTGAAGAGGAAGCTTTTCTTTCAGTGTCAGTCTTTATCCATTCAAAGATCTTTTAAATTGTTAAGATTCTTTGCTTCTCATTTTTGATACTTAAGTTTTTTTCTTACAGAATCAACTACAATTTGCTTTCAGTCAAAGTTGCTCAGAAAGGAACAGCAAAACTGATCATCACAATTTGATCCATATTAAAACACCAAATACTGCTTACAATGAAATCCTTTGGCTCAAAATGATTCACCCCTTAAATATAATGTTTGACAAAAGCGTAAGTTTGTCCATCAGATGTGTTTGAGGTAGAACATCACCATAAACGAGAGGAGACGGAGACAAAGGAGCGTTCTGTCAGCAAGTTTTAGAAACAGAAACTGCGCCATCTGGTGGTGGAAAGAGGAAGCGATCAAAGGCTGCTCTGAGAATCTTAACACGATGGAACAAAACCGGAGCTTTCAGGTCCAAAAGGGGTCGACAGATACAAATGAGCTTTTGCTGTAGTCTGGTACAGCAGATCCAATGGTGACATTTATGTTTGAGTTGTGCATTGTCCCTTTTTAAAGTTTATTATCAGTAGATATGTCTCCCCAGAGAAGAATAGGTAGAGGTGGAAACACCATGACAGCAGTTTCACAGGAAACCAGCAACATGGGGAGGAAAAGATGGATTCAGCTCTGAATTAGGAAGTCCTGAGAGAAATTGCGATGATGATGAGACAGGATCCCAAACACAGGTCAGAGCCCACCACGCTGGGTTTCAGGACAAGTCCTTTCTGCCCGACTTAAAATCTTGGCAAAGATCTTTTTGTTTTTTTAGATGGCTGCAGCACAAAAAAGCCCCTGGAATAAAAATGAACTGGAGGCTTTTACACGTGAGGAATAGGATGCTGGTATCTGACTATAAAACACATTTGCAGCAGATCATATCATCATAATGGTAATCTAATCAGGGTTGAATATGCTTTTTTGAGATGGAGGGAGGCTTTAAAAGTGTCCCTTTGAGTTTTATGTTAGTTGTGCTGATCTATTTAAATCATTCATTGCTTTATAATAACAAAAAAGTCTCGACTATCACAGCTTGTATCAATGAAACGTTACTCAACTCAGAGGCGGTGGGGCTTTCTGGATGCAGAATTCCTTTGGGGACACCACAGACATCATTTTGAGCTCTCCGTTGATTTTCACACAGTGTTTGTCCTGCTTCGTGTCCACTTGCAGTCTGGTCTCACACACAGCTTCCTCACAGAAAACGGTGTGGGACTTATCCTTCAAGAACAGACAGCAGGATCGTTTTAATAACTGGTTGAGTGATGCCGTAGGCAAAACAGAACACTAAAGCAAATAGTTTCTAAGCGGTTCTGCACAGTTGTTCCTGCACAAGCAGATTCAAACATCAATCTTTGCAGTAGCAGAGGAAAACAACCCAACACTTCACCACAGGGAATGGGAAAATGAAGTAGATATCAATGTTAATGGGAAACCTGTGTAATTTATCTAGTGTAGAATTGGTACCAATTAGGAAGACGTCAGTTCTATTGCTACTAAGTTTCAACAAGCAGGAGGAAAGCCAAGATTTGATTTCCTGGAGACAATCAGAAAGGGAAGAGAGTGGTAGAATACTGGATGGTTAGATGAGATATAGAGTTGACTGTTGTCAGGATAACAATGGACGTCTATATTGTGTTTTCTCATGACCAAGGGGAAGGAGGAAAATGATAAATAGAAGGCAGCCAAGTACTGAGCCTAGTGGTACACCAGAAGAAATAGAAGAATGTTGGGAATAGTTTGTTTCCCAATGTTGGGAAGATATACTGAGAATGGTTGGACAGTAGGAATGGAACCAGTGAAGGGGTGTGTGGGAGAAACACAATGATGTCATTGACAGACAGTCTGTCAATGAAGATGTGGACATCACATCCTCATTGCCAGATGATGTGATGTCCTCTGTCAAGACCACCACATCCTTTGACATAAAGGCTGACTTCAGCCTTTATGTCAAAGGATGAATCCAAGTCCAGTACAACGACAGGAGATTGTGATTTTTATTAGAGTCGTTTACCGTGGAAAGGTCTAAGCCCAGATGGGAGTCGTTCATAAACTTATTAGAGAGATGAAAGCTAGAGGCAAAAGACCGAACTGGGAGGGAGCAGTCTCACCTGGCCAACCACCTCAACGGTGTACTTAAATTCTGGTGGTTCGTCCTCTTCCTGGTGACTTTTCTTCTTCCGTTTCTTGCATCCAGAGAGCCCGTCCTTGTACACCAACCAGGGATGCTTGAACTGTACCTGTATGTGGTGATGCCTCAGGGTAGTGATGTCAACGGGCGGGATATCCAAAAGACCTGAGAAATGTCAAGGATCATTACACACACACTTTAATCTCACTGAAAGGTCCCAACAGCCTGGACCTTTCAGTAGAACATCTCTGAAATGCTGACGTTTTTGTTACTTCCTGAACATACTTACATTTCTCACCACTCAGAGCACTGGAGAAATAGGAAAATTCGATTCCATCCTCTGGAGAGAATGTGGACTCATCAGCCCCCAGCACAGCCTTTACCCTGATAAAGTAGAGGTTGTCCGGACTTGACAGAAACGAAAGATCCGCTTGTCGAGAAGATTCGTTAAACCACATTTCTTTAGGACAACTGGTGAGACAAAAATTTTTTTTTAAAAATCAGAAAATTATTTGGTTGGAAGAGACGACTGAACAGTTAAATGGGAAATGGGTGTTTTAGAAAAAGAAAACAAAAAAAACAACCTAGATTGTATTTAAATACAGTTTCTAACTCAATGAGAGATATCCAGTTGAAAAATGCTTCAAGTGCAATTTTTGCACTGATTATATTGTGGGGAAAAATACCATGCAAATATATTGTGATAAAACAGAAGAAAAACACAGAAATAAAATATACCCTGGGTTTTCTGAATCAGAGTTGATCAAAACGTGGAATCTAAGCCCAGGAACGTCGCCCTCATAATCCCAGAACAAAATGTTCTGCAGGTTACGGCAGGTTAGGGTCACGTTGGTCGGAGGTGCCACTGTGGAAACACAAAACACAGATCAGCCTGGAGACATGAGGAGCAGCTGGATGGTCAAACGCATTTAAAATGATAAAGTCATAACTTTTAATATCAAAAACGTCTGCGCTAAACTGTTGATGATGAATGTGTGCGGCAGATTCGTTACAGCACACAAGAACCTAAAACACTTTCTCAGTATAAAATGAAATATAATCGGAGTGTTCGGACACTTTTCCTCAATGTAAGATTGAAGTATTTTCAAGGTTTGCCTTGAGCTGAAACCTACAACTATCAAAATGAACTGAAATTAAAACATCAATAAAATTAGGCCAGGTTTAAACTTCTCAATTGAATTGCTGAAATCTAAACGTTTTGATGAAGGTTTAATACGTTAAGCATATTTTAGTTCACCACTAGAGGGCAGTGTTGGAAAACCAATGCATAGATTTTCAAGACATCAAGTGTACAGATTCAAAAGTGTTAATGTCATAAATATTGTATTTTTAATAGTGAAACTATTATTGATTAAGCATCATCTATAACAGATAACCATCAACAGAGTGATAAAGACTTGAAATATTTCACACATAAATTCATATCCGTTTCACTCGTACAAAAATTTTGAATTTTTTATGACGTTCGAACTTTTTAGAGGCATCTGACGTCCAGCATGAGCTCTTGATTTATCACACTTTGTTAGAACATAATTATATCGTGAGACACTGTGACCCATAAGAGCCGCAGCCTTCATGCAGCGTCCCCCAACATTGTCAGAGTAAACAAACTTCGTCTCAAACAAAGCAGAAGCAGACCGCCGCCTGCCTTCCTTCCAGCCAGGCAGCTGGTGGTAACTCCCTTGCTGAGGTTTGCATTTTAATCAGCACCATCATGATAAAAATCAGCAGGCAGAGTCAATTCTTTATAACCGGGCTGACAAAGTCCTTTAAGACTTGCATCCATTCAAAACGGCGACCGAGCTTCAGTAAACTGACACTCTACTAGCCTTCACTTCTTATTTTCTGTGATTTATGAAGAGGGAAGCCGTGTTGAACTATTTTAGTGACAATAGTAAAATTAATAAGGAAGGGAAAGAGAAGCGTAGCAATGTATTCATCATTCAGCTGGACTTTGGCCATTTTCCCTCACGAGTTACAGATTTTCCACCCATGCTTTTATGAGTCACTTAAACATCTGACGAAAAAAAAAAAACAACAACTTTCAGTTTCATTTCCTCTTGTGATTTAAGCATGAGATAAGTAAGATCCACCACAGGGAAAAAAAAAACCCAAACCAAACAAGAAAAAAAAAAGTTCAGTACAGACGTTAGAGGGGTTGAGTGGGAACTCAGTCATACACGGTAAAAAAAAAAAAAAAAAGTGACAACCACAGCTCAAGCTGTCAACCACAAGATTCACCCTCAGACACACACACACCCTCACACACTCGTGATATGCTACTGTCAATATGAATTTATGCTGCTTGAAGTCTGGAGGAAAGCACTCCGAGTTAGTTAACGCTTTGGATGTTTAATATTAGAAACATTATCTGCAGCCACAAACAGGAAACCAAAAGCAGCATTTACTCAACTAGTACCCGATAGTTAAGCATCAATTTAAAGTGTGTGATGTTCACCTTAAATGCCTTGTTAGCCAAGAAATTCCTTTGCTAACGAACGTTGCTGTCACTTTCTGTAAGTACATCAACTTTTTCTTTTGGTTTTCTCTGTGCGTTTCGTAGGCTGTCCAACCGTCAAGCAAATCATTTTGGCCAGGTTGTATATAGATATATAAACTTTAGCAAAAGAAAAAAAACCCAGAAGCATCCTTTAAACAAATAATTTGATAAAACTTTTGAAAACTAAATCCGTTTGTCATGCTCTATTCATGATATGTTCAAACAGTAAGAGGAACTATAGTCTTAAAAAGAAGAGCCACCCTGTTCTAAATTAAATGCATTTTGTTTTCTAAAGCTATTATGTAAAGTACAGACTTGTCATCTATTTGGTTACGGCAAGTACCTACACTGAAAGACCTGTACTGGAAACATCATTCAAAAACACCAGATATTTCTACCACAGATGAACTCTTCTCCTTTTAATCAAGAGGTTTCAGCAGCAAACGCTGCATTCGTTTTCTTGCAGGCGTCATAATTTACTGTAAAATACAGTTGATGTTCCCTTCCTTACTCAGGTGGGGGGAAAAAATCCCAAATATTGAATTTAAAAAGGGGAACATGAAAACCTTTTTGCTTAGACAAAATGAAACAAGGCAACGTTTTTAAACCATTATATTAGTTCCAGGATAATATGCCAACTTTGTTAGTCTTGTCATTTCATTTCTCTACGCTAGATTTTTTTGGATTTAAACATGTGATGCCAAAGCCTCATTTCAACAGGTTAAACACTGAACGTTCGTCATGTCTCTCTGAACTGTGACCATGCATACGGTGCAACACAGTAGCAAAATTTACACGACTGTAATATCATAAATGCTGATCACAATACAATTTGGAGGCCAAGAACTCACTAGAAAGTGCAGAGTTTTATAAATAAACTTACATCTTTGAACCAATTTACGGTTTTGGTTCACGAAATGTTTTCAGTTTTTTTTTTTTAATAGGCTGGTTTATTTGGACTAAAAACATCCACCCAGTTGTAACATAAACTTTATGTTTTTTTACACTGAAGGATAAAAACTGGACAAAAATAGTTTATTTACATCCTCATACATCCTGAGAACATAACTGAAGTACATGAAATTCAAAGGAACACTACTGACCAAATCTATCTTTTCTTATTCGACAGTGTCTTGTATTCTTCTCTGATGCAGGACTCGATCTAAACCAGTGGAGAACCACTGCTTCAACAAGAAAAAAAAAAAGTCTAACCCAAACTGAAGCAGGAAGAGAAATCAGATAGCATCAGTTCCTAAAGGAAAAAATGTGAGATATGCAAAACAAGCGCTCTCAGCCGTGCTTTGCAACAAAATGACAAAAAAAAAAGTCATCATTATCAGGGATGTTTGCAAGCTGCACAGCATCTGGACACGCACAATCAATGGTGCAATGTAAGAAGAAGTCATATAAAACAAGCGCTTGAAACACAGTCATAACTCTGCTTCTGGCATGTTCACTGAGCCGTGAGACACTTCCTTCCTTTGTCTGCTTGATACTAGGTCACATGTGATTTCCTCCAGAATTTCTTTGCCAGTTGCGACCCAAATATTAGAAGAAAACTTGACCATTTCACTGTGAACAAATATCAGAAATAAGGAAAGAAAGCCTCCAAGACTCAGTGGGGGAATACCTTCTGATAGCGCGCCACAAACAAAAAGTTGGATTTTTTTTTATGTGGTTTGGGTTCGTCATCATGATGAAATGAGGCTTTTCAAAGAAAGAGGTTGGATCTGTCTGGAAGAACAAAAATGGGTATGTTTTCAGAGGCAAGCTCTGCAATGAACCTGCAAATGACAAACATCGATGAACATGAAAGATCATTCAGAAACCCAGAACATTTCACTTCAAACCAAACAGCCTGCCTGTTTTAGGAATTTCATACATTTATTTTCCAGTTGGCCAGATTTAAATTCACACATAATAATCCTTGTGGTCCTTTAATCATTACTTTACTTGATAGAAAACAGGGCCACTAGTAATGGGTCAGCTTCACCAGAATATTCCACATCACCCTTCACTTTAACACAGACGTGCAGAACACGCCTGGATCTCCGCCTGAATGCATCTTCATACCAACTGCTGTGACTTTCTAATAATCTTTGGCTTTCTTGTCGTCACAGTTTAATTCAGGCCTTTGTTCACCCAGGAAGTCTGCAAACCTGCAGCATCCCGTTAAAATCTGATAAGGCCAACGTGATTGCAACACAAAACTCTAACCCTTTGAACTTTTTCCTTTTGGTTCTCATCCTTTTACACATGTATAGTAGACGACAAATATGACAAACTGAAATGCAAAAGACAACTTGTAGCATTTGAACTTACATACTTCAAATTTTCTGGCATCTTACTTGACAATTCACCTTTTCTTTTTTTTTTGCCAAGCCTGATAAGACTACGGAAAAAAAATAATAAAAAGCTCTTGATGGCTGTAGGAATTGTTAAATTATCCCCTATCATGAAACCAAGCACACATCAAAACATATATATATATATACACCTAAGAGGTGGTAAGTTCAAAATGACTGGATATAAACAAATAAAACAACAAGCAATCATATGCAATATATTAATAAATAACCTACAAATGAGCGCAGAATTGTTTTTTTTTTTTTTATCAATTAGCACAGACTTGGGTATTGTAAAGCCTGGTGGCACATTTTATAACATGACATTTTATAACCATATCTGGATAATTCAAAAATTTTTGCCATTAATTGGTGCATTACATGTTAATTACCAAACTATTATTTCAGTTGCTGCATTTTCAGTTTTACTTTCTGCTTTCACATCACTTAGAGTTCAAACCTGAATTTCACTTCTTGTCAACCGTCGAACCACAAACAGGTCCGTTTGTCATTCGGTGCTTTTGTTCTGATTCTGCCGCCGCCATCAAAACCGTCCCAGAGGTATTATTCAGGACGCAGGACAAACCTCCACAGGCCGTCAATGATGGGTAATTGAAGAAATTTCCCTCTCTCTGGGAGCATTGGTTTCGTTTCTGCGTAGGGACTCATTTATTTTCAAGCGAGGTATTAGCAGGGGAGCGTATGACTCACTTTTCACAACAGGTTCAAACATCTCATATGAATAGCATCCACCCCATTAATTGTGTAATAGACGCAGATGGATCACCCAAAGGATTCACACCCAAAGCATTTCACCACAGAGCCGGGGTCCACAGAAACACCCAAAGGTGGTTCTGTCAAGACTTCAAAGTCAGAAACAAAGACCAAGTTCACGCCTGATACCGACACGCTTCCTGCTGACTCAGATTCAACCAACCACGACTCTTCACAATGTTACAGCAAATCCGTCCTGCTTTACCTGCAAATAAACCATGTCCAAACATGTGAAACTAAAAGTGCACCTACTGTATTACCTTTGTTGAGTCTTAAAGGAGAGAAGATTAAACTACAAAAACTGAAGATTTACTTTAAGATAAAATGACAAAGCCATTAAATACAACTGCAACTCTGCAGTGTCTAAGAAGTGAGTGGTGGCGTCATAATCGGGTACAAATAAAACGGTCAAAACAAAAATTCCATTTTTAGATCCAATATCCCATCAGATGTGCGATTTACATTTATATTCATTTACTTCACTGAAGTCGCTTTAAGAGACTGCAGTCCACTATGGCTGTCACAGTCCAACAAACACGTTATTTAGATGATTAATGATCCAATTATGTCCAGGAAAAATGTAAACAATCCACACAGTCATCTCTAAAGTGAGTCCATTTTGAAATTCACAAGTTTGGACATCAGTCGTCATCACTATGAATGTAAAGTTTGACCCATTGTCATATTGTCAGCTGGCAAATGAAGAACTGCATTCAGACATGGCTTCTGAACAGCACACGGGAGTGAACCGTGGAATCATTTCAACAAAGCTAAGCAAGCATACAATGCCTAATAAAAAACACGCACTTGTAACGGATAATGTTACAAGCGCCAAATAACAGCAAGTAAAAAGAATGCTTTTTTTAATGCAGGTAGTGGAGAAAAAGAAAAAAAAAACTAAATCAGAGAGTTTCTTGTCCTGCCTAGTCTTGTCAAAGCATTTTATTTACATCCCTGGTATCTGTGAACCTTTGGAATGTGCATTTAGTTATGCAGGCAGCATAAAGAAAATCTCAAAGAAAAAAAAGTCTGATCTAGAAAGCTAAAAAGTTGCTAACACATTTTTGATTATCATTTGAGGTATTTTCCTAATATAACGTGGTCAAAAATATTATTGTTTACATCTATATTCCTCTAATTTGCCGACATTTGGGCAAATTAAAATGTGAATCCAAGTAGAGAAAAAATTGGATGCAAGATGACTGAACTGCATTTTCACTTTAAAGAATAGGTTAAGTGGTGACCTGGCTTATGTTCTGTTACGATACCAAAAAAATAAAAAAGAAAAAATTTAAAAATCTGCTTTCCCACACAAGAGAAGGATCCATCATTGCATCACCTTTCATGTTTCATCTGTTTGTTGCAAGTTCAGCGTTTCACATTTGTTGTGTTTTGCGTTGCCGCCTGTACTTCCCAGAGCGCTCTTGCAAAAGAAGTTAAATTAAGTAAAATAAAACCTTTAGCTGTCTGTTCAGGTGATGTGTTCAAAGAGCCAGATGTTGGAAATCAAATCGTCCCTCTAGCTATTTTATTACCACAGCGTAATAAGGCAGTTCTCTGAACTCCGCCGTGAGAAAGACTTGCACCGCTTGTTTACAGAAAAAGAGTCACTTCCACCAAGAGCAGGCCAACAAGTCACTCAATTCAGAGTCTCATTTCCTCTCCCTCCTGTTTGACGGATTAAAGAACAAATACAGTGGACGAAACACGCGAGTAAAAATCCCATTTTCTATGCTGACTCAGTGTTGAAAGTGCATTCACCCGGAGGAAAAGGCAAACTTTAGTACAGCTTAGAGACCAATATGAAGAGTTAGATAAAGACGAATAATAATTAAAAAAAACAACAACTACTTTTTCCTTTGCGTGGTAACTTTTAAAAGAAATTTCAACCACTCAAATTATAATACATGTAAGATGAACATTGGTAGAGTTAACAAAACTGCATGCAGAGTGTAATAATTCTGCAGAAAATGTGATTCACTGCCGACCGCGACATTGTGACGATATTCAGCAGACCATTGATTGAGACATTGCTCAAGATGAGGGTCAACTCGGTCAGAAATTATCTCTATGTCCTCTCTACTGCAACTCTGCTGCTGTTAAATGAAGTACTCCAGCTGAGAGTCCTTCTGGTGGGTTTTTTTAATTATTATTCAAGATCAATAATTCTGCCTTACAAACTTCACACGGCACAATCTCTGCTTCAATACATCCAAGTCAAACAATGAGGCCTTTAGAGAAACTGGCTGCGTGCTAAAGACGTGACTGAACATCTAAATGGCTGCTGAATCGATTGCTTTGAGGAACCCCAAAGTCAACTTTTAATTTGGCTGACCTGGTGCTTCTGCTTGTATGTAATATTACCGTTCTGGAGGAACCAGCTCATCAAAATAACCAGTGGAAACGTGCAGAAAGATGCAACTGACTGTTGTAATACCAGAAATGTTTTTTTTTCTTTTACCTACACTGACTATTGTATAGTTTTGCTGTTTTTTTTTTTCCCAACAGACAAATTTTCAATAAAAGTAAAAATTAGGAATGCATTTCAAAACGGCCTTTGTGTCGTTTACACCTTTTGAGACAGACCCATCTCACTTGCCATCAGAAACCAACCTCTTAGTTCAATAATTTTGAGTTTAATTGTATTGGTTTTGAGAAAACCAGGTCGAGTTGTAGGACACATCTAGAACCCAGAAAACTGGGTCCAGTTTACCCAGAACTGGTCTACATCAAACCTTTCACAAATAGTAATACTTTTGTATTGCTGCCCATAGAAAAATCAGTGATTGAGCCGTTTTTCTGGATCAAATTATATTGATTTGAAGCCGTCTGTAAAGGTCAGCTGGCTACAGACGGCCTTTTAACTTGATTGCAATGTAGCTCAGTGTTGATTCCACAGCAAATGTGATCAACTATGTGATACATTACAGTCCAGATATATCGGACCTTAAGTAATTCCTAAAAGCTTGTTGTGCTTTAAGTAATTACTGCAACAGCGATATTCTGTTTTTCTGATGAAATAAATGTGTCTTTACTGTATTAAACTCTGCAGTGTTCACTGGATATGTTCTTTTCTCTGTCAATGATCTCAGACATTTTAAACCTGAGATTTTAGCCTCCAAATGACCTGGTTTATTTATTTATTTTTTGCAGGTGATATAAAGTAGAAAACCATAAACCACCGATTCTGGAGCGTACTTTCTTTTCTTGTACAGCTTCACTGTAAAAATCAGTCTTTATGTTTTGGAAATTATTTTTTCTACACGTTCCATCGACGTGGATTTTCATCCAGTCAGATGAAGCGTTTATTTAATTCTGCTAGGAAATGTTTTGGTGTGTTGCGTGCATGAAATGAGGTTTCTGTGTCCTCCGTTTCTCAATCCATCTTAATTTAAGAGGATAAATAATGAAGGCGGACAGTTCCAGAAGACGTTAAACCTGCTGCAAAAAATGGAAATGATCAACAGAAGAGGCGAATGAATGGACAGATTATGGATGACAAACAGATGGGTTAATATAAAGTGGTAAAATTAGAGGACAGACATAAGCAAGGGAGGCTTGATGAACAAATAATTGATGGCCAAACAAATTGGCAAAAAATTGACTGCAGAACAATTGATAGGTTGCTGCTGCATTAGGCTTTGAGGTCCAAAGGCTCTTAAAATTAATCATCCTGCTTTGCTGACACAAGTGTCTCAACCACATGAGTAAAAGAAACAAAGCTTATGTACCAGTTTGGGTTAGTTTGAGGGCCGCATTGCTGCAGGAAGCGTTCAAAATGTTCGATCAGGGAATTATTTACAGCCGTCCTTAAAGGAAAAGTTCACACCAAAAACATGCAGGAGAAAAAAGTCCCTGTGTTTACAGACATGCATGCTGCTGAGCGTCGTTTAATCACATTCTGTTGCATCACATTCTGTAGAAACAGTAAGCTGATACCGGAATGAACAGTAAAATGTTGGGTAATACCGAAAACTAGAAAGAGGAAATGAAGTAAAACCATTTTTTCCCCCCAAAGTTCATTTTGCCAAGTTGGTGGATTTTGATGAAAGCAAATATTCACGTGACTTTATTTCATCGTTAACAAATTAATTCCCGTTTTTATGGTTTTCTTTTACGTTTCAAACTGGTGGGCGAAACTGCGAATTTAAATCCCACTGAGATGTGGGAAATAAAGCTCTATTGATCGGAGCGGAGTGACGTAATATGACCAGTTCCCTTCAAAGATCCCAGGAAATTCCAGCTCCTCGTCGTGGCGCAGGCTAGCTGTCAGCTAATCTGGGATTCAAGGTTTTCCTGCGACTCAGCCTCCACACTGCGACCAATTCACAGCGACACTACGAGTCAAATTACTTCCCTCGTTTATTTTTAACTCTACGTCCCCGTTCAATGTTGCATTGCTTTTAAAATCACTGCTATAAACGCAGGTGTGAACACGGAGCTACTCACCCTTCGCCGCTGAGACAAAGGGGAAAATGAACAACAGCCGCAGGGATTTGGCGAAAGCCATCTTGTTCTGTCCGAGCCCGGCTGGTCCTCAGCCTTTTACGACACGCCAGACGGAGACGAAGCCCCGGGCATCTGAAAATGACAGGAAAGACACGACTGTTCTGGTCTTTCTGGACGGAACCGCCTGCAGCGCTCACGGCGTTACTGTGGGAGGAGCTAGCCGCGGAGCTAATAGGCGATAACCACAATGTTGCGTTTAGGAAAGCTTGTACATGTCGAAAAATATTCTGGGAGGAGGGCAAAGGCGAACGTTTGGCTTAATTGGGCAAGAGTTTGTCATTAAAAAAGAAAAAAAAACAATGTAGTTTCATAGCGTACGAATATAAATAGAATTCATAAGTTATTTTTCTTATTTTATTATATTTTTTTTTTATTTATTTTATATTATTTTTTTATATTGTATTTTATTTTTTTTTTTATTTTTTTTTTTTTGCTTTTCTGTGGCTCTAGTTTTAAACATATAGCCCATAAGACTTTAATTAGCTTTTGTGGCACTTTTTTTAACTTTCCTTTTATGAATTCATTATGTCAATGGTATTCTTTAAAGTTCAACATTGTTTTTTATCTCATAGAAAGTCTGAGGGGGGTGGGGGGGATTTCAAACAATGAGACGCTAAAGAAAAGTTTAATTAAAAATACAGTAGAGAAAGACAGAGATGACTGTAAGACGGTGCACTGTAATCAAGAGGTCACCCCCAGAGTGACCCACTTCACTCCCCTTCTGCTTGGCATGCGTGAATTCTTTTTTTGATTCGAATAGTGATTAATCCGAGAGCACTCGAACGCACCATGAGTTCATTTTCATGAACGGGAAATCACCGGATCTTCCAGGAGATAATGTAGCAAGGAGCAATTCCCCACACTGCCAGGAACTATTTTTATGTAGATGTCTGTAAACAAAACGGTTTCAGAAAAACTGTTTATCTTTAATACAACAGGGAAAGGCCGATTTTGACCCCGAAAGGGTCAGAATATATGTAAAAAAAAAAATGTGTCTGACTCATCTAATAATCTCCCAGTTGTAATTTTACACTAAATATTAAAGGGCTGTGGGACATGTGTGCATTCAAGTTTGAAGACCCTGAACTTCATGAGCTGATTCCTGCTTCCTCTGAGGGATACATCCCACATCCTGACGTCAGCTGGATGTGAAAGCTTTTCTCCCCACTCCAGCGTCCAGCTGACGCATTCACTTATCTGCTCCACACCAGGAATTTGAGGTAAGCAGGGAACCCTGGATTTGGGGGAAACTTTGTTGTCAGGATAATCTCGAACTTACATCCATGCCGTTGCTGTTGTTTTGATGTAAAGATGTATTTATGTCAAGCTTGAAACTTTGTGAGAAGATTTACAGCCCAGCCTGCTGTGTACTCTCATGTTACAGCATTCCTCTTGTTGTGTTATGCAATGCAGACTTTATGTGCGCAAAGAAACCAGCTAAAATGCTGGACTCAGAGGATTTCTCACTCTCTGGTTGCATGTGAATCCAGCTGAAGGATACTTTGGGAATGTTAGGACAGCAGTTTCCCTGACTGACACAGCGACTATTTCCTAACATCCCCCAGAAATAATTGCAACACCAGATATTGGAAACGGTGTTCATTCACTTCTGTGTGAGACGATTTCGTCTGGAAGCTCTTAGAAAGCAGCAGTCAGTCTGGAGAAGTGGGAGGAGAACGATTAGTGCTTGATGTTGAAACATCTTCTCTTCCCAGCCAACCCGCCTCTCAAACGTCAACTGGTTCGATAAGGTTCCTCAACATTATCAAGCGCGATCTGTGGACTAAAATGTCAAAATCTGTACAAACATAAAAACAGTGACGTTTAAGTCTTTCTACATTATTATTGTTTGTCTCAAAAAATAGCGGTTAAAAATCTCTGCGAATTGAGAAATGTAACCCTTGACCTGTCCCCTTTGCTGACCGGCCAATCAGAAACAAAAAAGATATGATTTTATTTTTATTCTGGTCAGTGAATGCAGCTTGTGTTCGAAGCTAGCAGGTAACTCTGAGAGCAACACTCTTAGGTGTGGAAGTTGTTACTGCTGGAACCAGACCCAAACAGAGACTTACTGAAGGAAAAGTGAAAGTTCCATTTCCCACAGAACTATCTTGACTGTTCAGGTTTGAGCTTTTTAAAATCACTGGAAATCTTTCCCAAGCTCTCTGATTTGTGCGTTTCTTGTTAAAACTCTCAACCCTTCTGTCATTTCTTTGTTTTTTACTTCCAATGTGTAAGTTTTGAGGAAAAACAGTAGTTAAAAATAAATAGTATGTTTACTTCTATAAAAAAAACAGCTTGTCTTGATATATTAAACTTTGAATGTTTACAACATAAAATAAAGTGTGGCTTAAGACTCTTTGAAGCTTAATGTAAAACTTTCAGGATTGTGCAACCAGCACATTACTGAACCACAACTGGGATGGTTGACGAAGATAAAACAACAAAACATTATATGCTTTCATTTGGTCTGACCTGAGATGGTTCTGCTTTCAGAATGGATCAGCACCCTTTTTTGGTTTTGTTTGTTTCCTGTTGTGACTTGAGAGTTACGCACATCTATGTCTTGTTCTGTTCCCACGACTTTGACGTGTGAAACCGTGCTGAGCTCCAGTGGAAGGCTCCTGTTTGCAAGTCTGTCCACTTCATCTGATGACTTGTATGATAAAACTTAAGAGGTCTCTCGGAGTCTAATGGCTTTCAAGCCACCATTACACTTCGTGTGTTCATAAGTTGAGCGCAGATCTTGCCAGGATTTCCAGGAGAATATTGTTTTTAGGTTGATGTTGCACAGTGTTTTTTCTTCAAAGTGTACACAATTCTGCTGAAATACCGAATAACCAAGGATAACACCAATAATGATTAAATTTACTTGTAAATAAGCTAAGTTATCAGGTGAGGTGGGATAAAATGATCAATAACCTAATTTTACTGACATAAACTAACACACAGGGTCCAGTCTGTTTTGTTAGGAGTCTGTCTGCATCCTACGTCTGCATTTGATAATATTTGCCCAATCTCCCTTGCAAAACTTCTTCAAATCTATAAGACGTGTGAGGACATCTCTTCTCCACGTCCCTCTTTTGTTGTAAAATGCTGTGGTTGAGATGGACACAAGCGCAGAGAGGAAAATCGTAAGTGATCACGTTTGTGTGTTTTTTTGTTGTTGTTTTTTTAAGAAAAGATTTACAAAAATTGAGGAACAGATTCGAGAGAAACGGAAATGCGAACAAACTGGAAATACCCAAGCACTCGGCACAAAGGGAAGCTGGCATGAAGGATTATAATCGATCCTCTAGGCCAGCGGAAAAAAACCTGGGCAGCTATCTGGTGAAGCTGACGGGCTTTCAAACTATTGGGAAGGAGGATAACGCAACCGGGTTTAAGAAGGACAGAGCAGGGAAACTGATGAAAGTCAACAAAAAACAGAAAGGAAAACAGGGAGAACAAAAAAAGGGAGAACAAAAAAAGGGTCACACTAAACCAGGCGATTCACACAATCCTCTTTACTAAGTGTTGTCTACATTTAGCTTGACGCTGTTTCAGGTGAGCAGTAAAAGCTTAATGTATCGCCACTGGAAAACACTGCTGAAAAGTTTCGGTTGGTTTGAGCCACCTTTTTTCCTTTCCAGCGTTACTTTATTTAGTTTTATGAGAAACCATAACATTCACAAACAGAGAGCTTTAGTAAAAGCTGACATTCAGTAAAAGCTGAATGTCAGGCAAAGCTGAATGAAGTTCTGGCACCTCTTCTTAAAAGTTTTAAGGCAGAGTTCATACAGTTTCCAGTACACATGCATGGCAAATCTAAAAGCCTGTATCAAATTTTTAAAAAATCCAACGGTCATATTTGGACTTTTCTGTACCCTTCTCCTGACTCGTACCTTTGCACCGTGATAGCCTCTCCACCAAAAATGGTTTTAACTCAACGATGAACATCAGCAAAGTCTTACAAGGAAAGATACAAATTATTTCAAATGAATGAAATTCAATATAAATATTGTTATGTGTAAGAAACTTTCAAACCAGAGAATTTTACATAAACAGTCCAGAGGATAGTTTACAAATGTCTCAGCTCATTCACAGCTGACCAAACAAACAAACAGGAGCCAGTGTGAGAGAGCTGTTTCAGATCCAATGAACTTGTTTTCTGATTCTAAAAAAGTAAACATGTAGATTGTATTTTTCCTGATCTCATCGTACTTGTCGTCTGAACATCAGATTTGCAGAATTCACCAATGGTCAATACTCGAATTTGCATTTCAGTGTCTTTTCCAGACATGATGGGCAATTGCCAAATACTTGACAGGGAATGAATCAGCCAGCGAAGCCACTTCGTCATAAAAATGAGTCAGCTCAGGCTCATAATGTTCGATTTCATTTCACAATTTAGAAACAAGAAAAGATCTGACGTGTTAATTTTGAAAAATGACTTGATGTAAAATTGAGAATAATCAGACAGAAACCATTAAAATTACAAAAGCCACTTTCTTTACACAATTTAATTTACACAAGGTTTTTTTATTTGAGTCGTAAAGTCAGAGGTACGGCCCTGACTTTAAATATTATATCTAAATATTGGATAAAAAAAAACATTAACTGTTAAACTGAGTGGGATGAGATATTTTGTACATAGCTAGGAGTATTTTAGGGTTATTGGTGTTAGGAACTATTTACATTGTTGGTATTATCCTTGGTTAACAAACATGATGAAACCACGGTTGAGGTTAAACTTGAATCATTTTTGAACCACAGAAAACTTTGAGTTGACAGAGTTTTTTCACGTCAGCTGCTGAACCATTTCACCTGAGAAAGTTTTCACTTTAAAAAAGTTTTAAAATTAAAATTTATACCTACAAAGTAACGTGGTGTTTAATTGTGAAGTTCAAAATGCTGAAATCACTAAAACGTTCCTAGAATATTTTCATGAGCCAAAATTTTTTCCTCCTCAGGCTCCTTATTTAAACCTACTGTAGACATATGAGCCAAAATTTCATAGTAAACGTTGGTATTTTTTAATTTTTTAATCAACTTCCACTGAGTCTTGGAAAATTCATGTTAAAAATGTTCAGGAACCTGATTTTATTCTTTAAACATTCTGTGGTCAAAACATTTTCTCTGCTGTCCAATTCGCTAATCGCCCGACCCAGCCTCAGGAATCAGATCTTTCCTTTTGGGACATTTTGCTCTGCTTTAGCCAGTGCGTGCAGTAACTACCGATAGGAAATGTTAATTGTGTTGCCAGGCTTGAATGCAGAAAATGCCTTCAAAATACTAATTCTCCTCCTTTTCTTATTCTAACCCCGGGTCAGAGGAGGAATGCAGCGGTCAGCTCTGTCCGGTGTTCAAAATAAGGCCCAGAGTCATGTTCCTGCTCTGATACCGCTGCCAAACCAGACGAGACCTTTAAAAAAGCCAAGATTTCAAGACAGTGTTTTCCCTGGAATCTCAGAGCAATCCACACACACATATAATTTTCCGACTGCGCGTGTTTTTGTATGTGAAATTCAATGAGGGCTCGCCAGGCCAAACACTATATCCCATGTTGCTGCAGTCCGGGAGGAACACACCCGTCGCAGACCTTTTGTGTGTTTCTAATTGAAACAAATCCTGATCCAAACCAGCTGTCCATGCAACAACATCCTCTTCCTTCGTTCTGTGGCATGAAAACACTCAATGGATGTAGAAAACTCATGAGATCGACCGCCGAGTGTTGAACTTCGATGTCTACCTGTGATAAATGCCCTGAACGGGGTTGCAGACGTACGTTGACCTCCTCTGAAAGGTCAAGACTGCTAGTCTCAGCAAAGGTGAAGTGAATAAAAGGTGTGTCTGAGTGAAGGAACGAGTGGAGGTCACGTCGTTTCCATGTTGGGTTTCGAGAAAAGTTGTTTTAAATTAAAGCTGCAGAGCCAAAAGATGAAATTACATCAAGTTACTCCTGGAATGCGGCAGATTGTGGTGAGAGTGTTGAGATGCTTTGCATTTCTCTGCAAAGATTGTTCAACCTCAGGTATTTTTAAGACAGCAGGACAAATAGAAAGTTACGGTTTTTTATTACTATTATTATTTTACATAAGGCCATTTTTATTTCAATCAAATGGTTTGATGGACGTTAACTAGAAATCAAGTTTGCTCAGCAATGTCTCTATTCAGTGACAAATATATCTGACGTTTAATAATAATTAAAACGACCCGAATTGATCAGATTTATAGGAGGAAAAACCTCTCTAAAATCACTAAAATCAGTTTTTGTGAAAAAGTGCTGAAGTGAAATGCAGATTTCTGTGCCTGTGTCACCAGTAATACGTAAAAAGAAGCAACCTGAAACAAATATTCTTTGGCTATATAAAAAGCTAACTAAACGACGTCCTTAGAAATGTATCCAAGTGGCTGACCAGATCCATTTAGTTAAATGATCATCAGATAAAACAACCAAACCTCTAAACCTAACATGTTTGAGAATTTGCAGGAGAAACTACATTGCTGCTGTGAATCTATACAGGACCGCATATAAGTTCAATGCCTTTTTTTGTGTGTTTGCTTTTTTGCAGACACAAGATGGTCATTAAAAATAAAAAAAAATAAAAAAAAACAACTCTGAAGGGAGACCCAAACCAAGAGATGTCAAGAATAATTCAGGAACCAGAGAGATATTGGACTGCCAATTCAGAGAGACGTTTCTGCTCTCAGCGACTCAGATATTCATAATTAATTAACTGCCACTTGTTTTAATTTAGCATTATATAGTAAATTAGGACACAAATAAAAAAGCCTGTTCTGAATTTTTCACTGTAATGTGGAACAATCTACTGAAGGCAAAATGAAATGAGGACCTCTAATAGACAGAGCGACTTGGAGTGGTTGCTCAAATCCAGGCTTTGTTTAAGAGTGGATAAATCAAAAAATTTAAGATTTATAGAAATCTTAGAAGAAGTCTGATTTGTAGTTTGATTTAAAAAAACACTTGGAAGTTGAGAAATTAATAAGAAAGAAAGAATTTATAAAAATGTCAGACGAAACCACACATCCCGGCGAATGACCGTCAGACAGATCCAGCTGCCCAGACTAATGGTGACATAATTATCCTGTCGGCGCCACAGCAGGACTTCGGGTCAGCGTCTCCCGGGGAGGTAAAGGTTTCGGCTGTAAAACGGCACCATAAATCCAGAATAAATGTGAATGAATGTGTTCGGGATGCTTTGCCAAGATCAGGCCACTGCAGCGAGCAAAAAAACAATCTCATTCTCAAACCAACCAGGCTGACAACCATAATTCCTGCCTAAATCATGTCCAATCACACAACCTCTCATTTTTACACTAAGTGCTCCTTTGTATTTATATCTGTTGGTGGTTTGAGAAAAATGTGCGTATTTTAAATTCCTTCAGTGGTTTTCTGTTCTGTGTTTTGGTATGTTCCTCTACGTTCATCACTCTAATGTTAATAGATGACTTAGGCTCACTGACCTTCGTTAGTACTTCAGTAAGGGGCTTAGTGTTTCCCCCCGCCCCTGTTTGTGAACAGTTCTCTGCTGGTCAGGGATCATAGTGCAGCATCACACCTGTCAGTCAAGCTGCAACTTTTTCATTCAAACTATTTTATTCAGTCACTTTTTCACACTTTAATCTGTCGGCCTGACGATCAGAGCGATCAGTATGATCATTTTTCACAGACTGCTGCTGCAAAATACATGAAATAAAGTTCAACTACTGATAACTTGTCCTTTAAAAACTCAGAATATGTAGCTGAGAATCTTCTCAGTGACTGTGTTTCCATTGTGTGCACAATTGGAAACATGGCAATTTTGAAAAAAGAAAACTCAAGTTTTTCAATAAAATGTTTTGAAGCCAGGATGAGGGGATTTTTGGTCTTATCACAACTAGTTTATTTTGCAAAACTGTACTGCAAGCTTTTTTCTTTTTTTTTGCATCATATGTGTAACATGATCAAAAACCTGATGTTGCCACTGCCGCAAACCACAAAGAAGAAGAAAAAAACAGGAGCAAGTTTCAGGATGACAGCGCAGAATGTTTTTCAATAATTTATCACGCGAACAAACTTATTCTGGTAATTTTAATTGTGTTTTTCAGAAGACGCAAGCTTGGTTTGTAGCTCATTAGACTGAAGTGGAGATGACTCACAGTTTGTGTCTCCAGCCAGCAGCAGCTTTTGGACAGGGAGAGCAAGGCTAATGACAGTTAAAGTATATGCTCTCCCAACAACAGGGTTACTGCACAGAATTTGTTCGCTGCTGCTGTTTTGAAAAGCAGCAGGTATGGGGAAACTTCAGACACCGGTTTGACATTTATTGCTGACTTTGTTTTTTTTTTTTTACTTAAATTTCTTAAATGCATGCCTTTCAGATTCTGTTCGTCAGCTTTAGGTTGTTTTAAGGCCTTTAGAAAAACAAAGACGGAACTGGAAAAGGAACAAAGCAGCAGTAAAAACCTCAAAAATCTCTTTGAAAAACCTTCAGAAAGTCAGGAGAGACATATTCAAAAATCGTAAAAATGCTAATGTAAGTCACTTTGCACAGAAGTAAACTTAAGCAACTGTATCTGAGACGTCACCTTGAGGTTGTTTAGAAAAGACTAGAGGTTATCAAAAACAGCCACGCTTGATTGAGGTGGAGGACGACCTTCTGTTTGGAACAATTGAAGGTCAAAGGACAGGAAGGAATTCAGATAGCAACAAAGTTGGAGACAAACATCAATGAATAAGTCATTCTCACTGAACCTGAAACCAAGTAAGACAGTTAAACAGCCTCAGATACCTGCTGAAAGGCATTCAAACGTCAACCTGCAGAAATGTTGAGTAACAAATGTTTTTATGGTTAGTTTGATATACATAAGAAATTATCTGAATGCATCACTGTGGGAACTCCAGCTGCTTACTTGTGAAATTGTACAAAATTATTTTTAAAAAAGCAACTAAAGCCAGAGGTTTTATTCCATTTCTGTTTTCTGCTGGCTCAGGTGCAGACAGGCCATCGCGGCCCAGGGGTCAGCCCTCTCCCTGAGACTCACCTCCTGCTGTGATGGCTCCCTCCAGCCCTCCTGCTCCTCTGCTCCACCTGCTGCTCTGTGCGCTGATGGCCGACCTGCGTTTGGCTTACATCACGCACGGCAACTTCATGTACTACTCCAGGAGCCAGGACTCTCAGCCGTGCAGCATGTCTTCGATCTCCGACTGCAGATGCAAGAACTTCCAGCTGTCCAGCGCCCACAGGCCCCTGTCTCAGTCCTCTCCCGCTTTCCAGGGGAAACATTTGACCGTGTGGTTCTCGTCTCCCGCCACCGTAATGCGTCTGCTGAACAACTCGGAGGTGAGGCACCTCACGCTCATCCACTGCGGGCCTCCCGGGGAGCCCCGGGGGGCGGCCTCGTTCTCTCAGGAGGGTTACTTTGCGGTGCAGCACCTGGAGAGGCTGACGGTGGTGAACGTGCCCGAGAGGCCGTTTCACCCCTGCACCGACGCCAACTGCGCCAAGAGGGCAAACGCTCACCAGGACAGAGACAACAGCTTTGCATTTGACTCAAACAAGCCCAACAAGGACAGAGACACCAACATGGACCTCGTTGCCGAGACAATGAGAGGCTCTTTGAGAGCGTCCTCGCCTCAGATCCAGGACATCTTTCTGGGCCGGGAGCGTGGAGCGGCGCATCACGAACAGGCCCGACTGGGAATCATCCACAGCTCGGTGCTGGACTGGGGGGCAGAGATCAAAACGTACACGGTGCTAACACACATAGACAGTCACGGGACGCTGCCTTTCCCCGACCTTCACCTGGCAAAATTACCAGAGGCGTCGGTCATCTATGTCAGCTTTGTGTACTGACAAAATGCATACTACGAACCACCGATAACATAACGCAGGCCTCTATTCGGATCCACACTGTGAATATTGTCCGTGGGTGGATGGAATCTGATATAAAAAGGTTGTTGGTTCACATATTGCTCTGTGTTTTTAGGTTCTCTAATTCACAGGTGTCTGGCGTAAGATAATTCAATACATCACAATTCGTAAGGTTTACATTCAGACGAGTTAACAACCTGAGAGAATCCATTTTTTCATGAGTGAGATTTTTCAGCTGTAACCAACTGTTGCACATTTGTACAAGGGTGTCAAATATGGGTTACATTGTAACAATAGTTGTGTTATTTCTTCCCACTTTGTTGTCAGACAACAACTCTGTCAGACCAGACACTTTGATTGCAAACTCACAATGCAAACAAAGAAAAGCACCCAGAGCTCAGCACACCAGGACGCCGGGCGTCCTTTGTTTTCTGCTGTTTATACTGATCTGATTGTGAGGTTTCAGTATGAAGTGCTGCATGGAGGCAGCTTCCTGTTTATTTGTGCCCCTTGATAACAATTGGGAGCGACAGGGTCCTGCACTTGATCAATGTCTCGGTTTGGCACCCTTCACAGAGAAACAAAAGGAGAAGTCCAAACCAAAGAGGGCAGTCGGGAGATTTTGTTGCAACATAAACATCTCCCAGTTCATCTTTTATGTTTCAAACCTGACCACTGCTTCCTTGTTTCTCAGCAGAGATTCGAGGTTTGTTTGCAGCGAAGTGAGTCAAATGTACTTCAGAGTCTGAGCCACAAGGTGGCAGCAGATACGTTTGAGTAAATTACAGCGACGATGAAGAACAGAGGACTGAGAGAGTAAAGGTTTTTCTTTTCTTGTTTACAGTTAATATAAACCTGAAATTTAACTCGAGTTGCGATTGACGATAAAGAGTCCTGCATATTTATTTGTTGCATTGCTATGGAGACGTATTAACAGTCCGTCATCAGAGTCTGTTTAAATTTCATAAGCAAAAAAATAATAAATGATCTGTATAACGTTAATTTGTTGCCCAAATTTCTTTTTTTTTTAATTTCAAAGATCAGTGTTGCATTATAAATTTTAAAACGCATATTTGATGCAATATTGTGGACAGTTATGCAAGTTATGTAATTTCTGGAATGTCTGAAATAATTGCTCTGCATCACTGGTATAGAAATAACACGTTTATATGCATCTCCATTCAGACATATCCATGTCATTAATTTTCAGCTGCATGTCCAAAAGTCTTGCAAAAAAAAAAGGATATTAATTTCAATAATTCAATTCAATTCATATGATATTTTTCTACTGATTTTGCTCTTTCAAAATTGATTCTAATTTCCAACTAATTTACACACTGTTGTGATAACAGGATAAGTCAGAATAATATGTTAGCCACTTCTGACTTTTGTTTGCCAAACAACATACTTATTTTTTCTTTTCAAAACAATAATTGTAGAGAATCTCAGTGTTACGATCCTTAACTAAGAATGCTTTGAATTAAAAATGATTAAGATGTACTTCTTGTCCATGTCTTTAAATCTTGCTGCTGGACGGTCACACAAATCAAAGCAAGCCGGCTTGCATAAATCTCTACACAAGCCGGCTGATGTGATGCTGCGACTGCACCTCACTTTCTGAGTCAAGGGTGTAGTGGAGGTGGGTCGGCTTCAAAATCACCCACCGCATCGACTCATCCACAAAGGAAAATGGACATGATTAGAAGTGACTAGAACTGCTCTGCAATTATAAAATGAGCAGTCTTTATATGCTCATGTTTATAGTATGACACTGTGTGCATAAAAAAAAAAAAATCCAGTCTGATGAAATTATGGAGTGCTTCACATACAAGACGCATTTTTATAGACGCATCTAATTCAGCTGAAGTTTCGCTTGTAATTCTTTCACTAATTCAATCATTAGTCATAATGATTCATGATTTGCAGTTAATAAAAAATCTAAACACAGTGCCTCAGAAAGTTTCAATTTGACATGACAAATTATGATACTCAACTGCACTTTTTCCTTCCACCTAACTTTTTGCCAATATGCTTACATAAAGGACTAAATGGCCATCATTTAGTCCTTTTCTGCCCTACTTCCAGCCACCCCATCGTGGTGTAGGCCACAAAATCACATTTTTATATTTAATTTTCTATTAAATGAGTCATTGTTTTCTTAATTTTTGGCATTTTAGGTTTTCATAAAACATTAGCCAAAACAACAAATATAACCGTTTAAATCCATAGAAAGAGAAATTATTCTTATTTTGGATTTAGATGATTGAAATAAAGAAACTTCCCGATGCCTCCCGGTTGTGTGGATGGTTTTCCCTGAGGGGATGTTCGCGCTTTTATGACACGCAGCTGCATTAATCTGCAGACCCTCAGCTATCTATTTGTGATTTGATAATGACCGGCGGTCCAGTCTAAAGGCGCCACAGCCGCAGAGCGAGTGAGCGAGTGAGCGAGAGAGTGAGTGAGTGAGTGAGTGAGTGAGTGAGTGAGTGAGTGAGTGAGTGAGTGAGTGAGTGAGTGAGTGAGTGCTCTGCTGACACCTGCTATGGAAAGAGCTGCTTATTTGCATGATAAACGCGCAGCCCGTCTTGTGAATGCAAACTGATGCCGCCTGTTGATCCCGCACCTGAGAGGTCAACAGGCCCGCTCCCCGACACGCAGTGGGGGCAATTACCAGAGGAATCACCGGCGGTGGCGCGGAGGAGGAGGAAGAGGAGAAGGAGGAGGAAACCCCCCCAACTGCCTCTGCGTTTAAAAGGTTGCTCTAAACAACCAGTCAAAGTAAATCAATTACGCATCCAGATCTGGTCTCTCTCATGAGGGGCCACCCTGAACGCCCACTGTAAATATCCTCGCTGGCCCCCTAAAGGTGGACGGGGCCCTGACTCTCCCCTTCAGCCGCAGCCGCCGTCTTCCTCACCGGCACTTTCGCAGTACAGCCTAAAACACTTTTTTTTCTTCTTTTTAACAATCAGACGTTATTGTTCGCCGCCTCCTTGTGGGAGATGCGCCCGCGTTCATTTTTTAAAAGGGCAAATCAGCCATAATTCAGTTTATAAACTGCCGCGCGCAGGGGAGAAATGCCTGGATGAATATTCATTAGAGGCCGGCCGGACCGCCACGCTCCGTGATTCATTAGCCATATGTAAATATCACTCACTTTAATTGGCCCTAAACTGACTCAACATAATGTTGTCATTAGCAAATTATTACTTATTTGTGATACTAATGGTGCGGTATGGCGCCCAGAGCCCGGAGATCCACATACTATGTGATTGTAATTATAGGAGTCTTTTTTATTCACAGGGTGACTGCGGGATCTGATGGATCTGCAGCCTTATACCCACACAGAGAGAGATACACACACATACACACCTCTGCGTCATAAATTTGGTTTATTTTAATATTTACAACGCAGCCCATCATATGATTCCAAAAAGGCGCACTCCCTCATTTCATTCGGCATTGATTTTAATTGCTATTAGAATAAAAAACCGACTGAAACCAAACAGAGTTCCGCAATCTCCTGCGTCTGCACCGATTTAGGTCCATTGCACGTCGCGGAGGAAACGTGACGCCGTCGTCGTGGACAGAAACTGTGGAAACTGCATTATCCCGACAACAACATAAATACTGGGAATTCATGTGTTCGCCTTTTCAGCAGATCTCATTTCTGAGCTCGTGTCGCTAAACAGCCAAAAGACACTTCTACACAAATGTTTTGATTTCCAACCAGTTTAAAATGCACATTTAAATTGTTAGAAGCCAGTCTACTCCAAAAGAAAGTAAAATAATAGATTTCAAAAAAAAAAAAAAAACTTCATTAAAAAATTTTTTTAAATTAAAATAGCAGCATATCCTAATAATGTTCCTCAGTAAAATGGGTGGATAAAATGTGCCATTGAATTGCCAAACATCTAACTCAGTGGTTCCCAAAGTGTGAGGCGCAATGCCAATGGATTAAAAAACAAACAAACGAACAAACAAAAAATAAACAGCTACACAAAAGTGTTTCACTGTAAAGATGGTGTGTTGCAGTCTGTTTTTTTTTTTTTTTTTTTTTGCAGCCTGAAGTGTGAAATAAACTTCACTGGAGTTTGAAAACAAAATATGTAGGCCATATAGGTTTATGTCTGGTTGAACGATGTGTGTGCCCAGTGTCATTTTATTTTCATTGGTACCACTGGGCTAACTGGAGGTTACCGAGCTCCGCTTGCTAGCTTGTTTGAAATTAGCGTTAGCGGAGCGGCTAAACTAGCTTTCTGTGGGATAGTTTACATGGCAGTGTAGCTAGGCTAATTAGCTTCTGTCGATGGTACACATGATATTTTTTGAGAACAAGAGGTCCAATTCAGATTCATTTACTGACATAAACTCAGTAGATTTTGTCAATTGAAAAGGACTGGGCTATATGCGATCTTACGATTTTGTAGGGAATCTCAAAATGTGGATCGTCAACTTCTTATTTTGGAGGCCTCTTTTTGTCAAACAACCTCTGACTTTTTAGGGAGTTTAGTGAAAACATATCACACTCCAACATAGATGAAGAAAATATTCATAACACCACATCACTTACTAGCTTTTCAAAAACAACAGCAAAAAAAAAAAGTTTTATAAGTGGTATGGAAAAGTGTTTTTACTTTCTGAATTCGTTTTTTTGTAATTATTTATTTTTTTATTTTTTTATTTTAATCTTTAAAACACCATCATTTTCACACAGTTTTATATTTCTGTCTGTTTAATAGCATTCCTTTTAAATATCAATTCTGATGTTAAGATCAGCTACTCAGCCTTTTTACCAAAATATGTTTTTACTCTTTTTGACAAAACTTTTACTTTTACTTGAAGAAAAATATATTGAGGTAGTGCTACTTCAATATATACCCACCTCTGTATGTAACACATTATAAATGTGTACAATGACTGATTGAACTATTGATTCAACTCTGATCAGAATGCTTAGGTAGGATTTTTTTAAACCAACATAAAGTTTCTTATGTAGCCAGAATTCAACTATCAGTATACATTAGATTGCCAAAGTCCTTCTTGTTATGTAGATAAACATTAAACATAATTTGTGATTGTAATAAACAACAACCACTGTTTATTATAGCTTTTTCCCCCCGGACTCTGTCATTTTTGTAGATTATCCACAAACTGAGACGTCACCTTCAATGAATCCTAGATGAGCATGACAAAATATTTTAGCTGAGTCCTGAGTTCACCCATAACTTCTGATTAATTTGTTGGCATTTTTTAAGTTACACTGGTTTCATTTACGTGAGTCAATCTTCAAGCATTACAGTAGTATAATTCTTACATCTAAAACAAAAGAGATTGAAAAAGGAAGCAAACACATGGGATCAGCAGGATAGAATAGTAGAATAGTAAGCTAGTTTGCTTCTGTACACTTTTAGAACAGCAACCTTTTCTTAAGACACCATTCTTTATGTTTGAAACCAAGCAAACACCCAAAACTGCTATTTTAAATGTTCAAACCAAACAATGTTCAGCACTGAGCTAAAAAGAAACATGAAGTGTAAAAATCTGTAAAGAAACACTATTTACAATCACAAAAATATCTGAAATAAGATAAGAAAAATAATTTGTGATGTGGTCCAGTTTAGGACGTTTCGTGTGATTATTAAATCTGGGCATATATCTGGTCGGGTGACTGATGCTGAGATCAGCTCCTGCTACACCGTTTAAATAAAGTCTTGCTGTATAAGCTGAAAGGGGCCCGTCACCGGCTCCACAATACGACTCGGGCTGGAGTTGTTTTATAGAGGCAGCAGCAGTTTGGAACAACTACCATGACGAAACAGGCCCACCGAACAGAGGGAGAGGCAGAGACAGATAACAAAGTGTGTGTGTGCATCTGTGAGAGAGTGTGAGGGAGCTAATAAAGTAATGTGATGGATGATGTCCTTTCTCCCAGAGGGACTAGCACCATGTAAATTGGCCCACACAATGCATTATGGATAAGGCAGTTGAGATTATAGCTTGTTAATGTGTCCCTCCTCCCCCATCGCCTCCCCCGCCTCTCCTCCCTCCCTCTGTTTCCTTCTTCATCCCTCTGTTTCGGCTCAGGCAGTGACATGGTCACCTCATTGTTGGGGCGCTCTGGTCTTTTAGGTGCAGATGGAGAGGCTAGCTCTCTGCCAGGCTTATTATAGTGTGTTTCTGTGTGTGTGTGACTTTCCTCAGGCGAGGGTTGACAACAGTTTGTGGCCACAGTCCCCTAATGAGCACCGACTTCCCAGTTTGTGTCCAAGACTCAGCTCTTCATGAGACTGAGATTTGTATTTTGGTTCCGTGACTGACATGCGGCCATCAGCCACGGATTCCCGTCTAAGAGACAAAAACGGGTTAAACTGACCGTATGTGTGTGAGAAAAAGACAGCGAGCCAAGCAACCAAGCAGCCAGTCGAGACCGCCCAACAGCAGAGGCCAGGACTGTGGACATATGTCTCCTTCCTCACTTAGCAACCCTACACCCCCTC